GTGCCACTTGTGGCACAATACAGACAAGTTAGGGAAGCACTGACAGAGCTGGATTAACATGTTTTAGTCATTTTATAGGATGAAAATCAGCCATTTCTCAAAGCCCTCTGTGTTATTTTTCTAACTGTAACCTATAATTTACCTAAACTTTCCACATTTAAATTTCAGGGGTCGTAGAGGATGCGCAAGAGCTGTTCATTGTGCAAAACAAACAATGAACTTCAAGCAGAGGCAAAGAGGTAAAACATGTCCAACAAATGCTCACTACCACTCATTTTAACTAGTTCAATTCCATGTGAACTCATCTGCTAGCAGCTTTTCAACCATTATTACTCCTTTTTCAAGAAAATCAAACTGTTACCACACTGCTTAAGCTCCGAATCTGGTCCAAAACCGAGCATCAATTTTAAGAGAAACTTCAGCACAGTGCCACTCCATGCAAATTCTGTACATAGCTACAGCTCAAACTGAAGAGAAGAAAAAAAATAATCCACAGCACACAAAAGAGACAAAAATACAAATTAAATCCACAAATCCAAAGGTTAAGATGTCTTCAGAAGCCTCACAATGTCTCCTTTCTTTGTGCTTCAAAGTTTTAGCATCTGCAATGTATTGTGGCCGACCCTCCCTCTGAAACCCCCCCTCTCTCTAACCCCCCCCCCGTGCAATGAATCCCACTGAGTCAGAAGAAGCCATAAAGATTCCAAGCTGCCATAAAAAGCCATTAAGACGTGTGGAAGTGGGATGTCTGCTGGCAGACATGAAAAGGATTCCAGCTCCAGACCAGTTCAGTGTTTGCATTGGTTTGTCCGCCTTCCTCAAGAGGGTCAGACAAAACTGCCCCGCAGACCAGGAAGCACTTAATTTTTACAATCTCCATTTCCACTCATGCAGCCACTGATCTGGGATTAGTGCGACGTTCACAAAACGGAACAGTGAGAAGACGTGAAAAAGCTGTAACTCTCACTCAACAGGAGCTGTCAAAGTGTTTGTCACTGATTTTATTTTTATTTTTTTATAAGGCACACATGTTTAAATTTAAAAAAAATCTTTCTTATACTACAAACTGATTTTTGACTGTGTTATGTTCACTGGTCACTAAATTATTAGGATTTCCAGTTGTGGAAGAAAGCTAGCAAAGCAATAACAGAGGAACACAGAAAGTTTGTTTTGTTTCTTGATCAAAGATAAAGGCGGCCAATAAAACAAATCTCAGTCATCTTCCCCCAAAAGCTTTTTCTGACTCTTAATTAAGAGTCAAAGATACCTTGTTTATTTCTATTAATAATTAATCTAACTTCTTTTTTTATTATTAATATTTTTGCTGTTCTTTTTAGTTTGGGAGTGAAAATGTGGAAAAAATGCTAAAAAAAACAAAACAAAACAAAGAAACAAAAAGTTTAAAACCAAAGAGTAATGTGGCGTAAAGGTTTGGGTTCTTATTATTATTTTACTTTTAATTTTTAAATAAAATTTAAAGCATCACAAAAGATTAAGAGGAAAAATAAACGTGAGAGCAAAAACATAGTGGATTACAGTGCAGTACAGTAACGCTGCACGTTCTTAACTGTAAACTGAGCATCTGGTAGTTTTGATTATTTCAGTTTTAACTGCATTTCAGAGACAAACAGAAAAAAAATAAAGTGAGAAATTATTTATCTGATGAAGAATGAAGACGGTTGCTCCACGCAACCGACTCTCAACGACCAAATGGGGGAAGGTGACTTGCTGATTATTAGATTATTAGATAACATAATAACACCTTTACTCAACTGTTGAATAATAACTTGGTTTTTTAATTATGAGGGATGTTTATTTACGCTGCATCACTGTCTTCGCTTTTTTTTTCTTCAATAAAATGTTACAAGAGTGAGACGAGCTTCCAAAACCGGGTTTGAAACCACGCTCTCGGCCTGGCCTGGTGTTTCCTCTGTGAGGCAGGACAGTTGGGAGACAGGACGGTGAAGGGATCACATTACTGCTGCTGGGAGGCAGAGGGGTGTGTGAGCCGCTGCAGGGCGTCACCTCCGCGATCATAACTTGGGATATCCTTTCAGACCCCATAACTTTAACAGCAAAATATTTCTTTTCTTCTTTTTTCCCCAAGTCAAACTGTTTTCGCAGCACCAGCATTAAAGATGAGTCGCATAAAATCTTTGAAATGGAACAGCATGCAGGTTTAGAGGAAACAATAAATAAAAAAAATTAAACGTGCATTGCTCTTTTTTTAAATTTGCAGCCTGTGAGGAGGGAGGAAGTTAAATAAGCTGAAGGTAGAAATTTAAATGTGAAGAAAAGTCTGTGACGCATTTTCATTTGGGTTATGGTCACATTTAGTGGGCGGGACAGTGCTCCTCACACGGGCTAAACACTGCTAACGATACACTGTATCCACAGCGGTGTTACCACAAGGCTGCAGGATCGCGCTAAACGGGTGTTTTTCTTTTCCTCCTCAGTTGCAGAGCAATCCTCTGCATTAGTCCAGTAAACAGAAAGCAAAGGGAAAGCTGCAGAGTTCTATGTAGCTACTGTAGGCAGCACCGAGCTGCCCGTCTGCACAGACTACAGTATAAACACGCACCGCTGTCCGACACTGCGTGCGCTAATAGTAGGAAAGCTGAGCGCTTTTGACCGCAGCACGGAAAACAAAACAACACACGAGACTAATAAAGAGGGATGAGCCGTACCAACCGTGTCAACTGGGTATTTTGATGCGAGACTCCTCACTTTCTATCAGATGCAAGCCGCCATATTCGCTGCAGCTTCGCGCATGTCCACCGCGCAGTGCTGTAATTCATTTTTTCTTTTTTTTTCTTCTTGTTAAAAAAATAACCAGGTTAGAGCAGGGGAAATATTAATTAGGCCTTGTATTAAGTAAGTATTGATTCATGTTGGGTATTTATATTAAACAGCATGTCACGTGGAAACGAAAATCTTTTTCTTTATGTGTATTTTTGTTATTGTGGCATGCTAATTATCACACAGGGGGTGATGAGAATAGAGATGACATGAAATGTAAGTGACGGAAGGTAAGCTGTGTTAATAATTAAAAAATGTTTTTAATCAATAAATTAAATTAGCTGAAAAAACACACGTAATCTGTGTTACAGTAACAACAGAGCAGTTACATTCAAAATTTACAATTTTGAATTTTGAATAATTTATTAATGTAAAACTATAAATGCGCTTTCGCGAAAATCATGCATTTTAAATAGTAAAATCAGCAAATGACAATGATGTGATTTGTGGTATATTATCAAAGCTGATATAATCATGGCTGGTTGAGAAGGAGTTCATTTTGTTTGCTTTGTTACTTCAGTTGTAACAACGTGTCTGTTTCAAACAGTTCAGTTTTCTAAAATTGCATTTTAATTGATTGTAACCAATATAATTAGGTAACATTTTGTATGTTGTATTTATTTGTGTAAAAAGTATTTCTAATAATGCTAATTGAACATTTGTCACTTTTTTGTTTTGCTTTTTTTAATTTCATGGGTATAAAAACGCCTTTTGGGTTAATTCTAGTACATTTCCCCCTTTTTTTTTCTTTCTCCATTTATTTATTCAGTGACTATAACAGCACCATACTATATAGGAGTAATGAATGAACTGTTTCTACCTGAAATGTAATGGAATAAGCATCCAAAGTAGTATAGAGTAACAGAAATACTCAACTAAGGTTCCTCAAGTATGTTTTGTGTACAGTATTTCAGTTAAATGCATTAGTTATGTAACACAGCTACAGATTTAAAAGATAGCTACATAATAGTCTAGAAATATTGTCACATGGCAGTAGTTTATAAGTGAAGATCCTCTTCCAGTTGTGACACTGTGGCAGAAAACAAACTCTTTCAAATCTCAGTATATGAACAGTAATTACTTTTCTCTCTCATAGTAATTGTGGTATGAAATCCAAGTGGCAAAGTGTTTTTTTTTCCTTTGTAAAATGGTTATGCACATTCACCAACCAAATGACACCACACAACATGTAACATAATAGTCAGTTGGCTACTGTCCATTAAAACATTTATAAAACTGTACTGTTTGAAACTGACACTTTGTCACATATCAAGCAACAAAGTAATTCAAATGTCATATTTCTCCACAGTAATAAAGCCCATGTTAATGACTGGGGTTACTAATTCAGTCATAATGTGCTAAAACAATGTAATGTGTTAAACCAACATATACGGTGCTGCTGCAGCAAACTGCAGGGCTGGCATTTAAAATTGATTTCATGTTTGCACTTTTACTTCTTTGTGTAGCAAAAGAAATAAGCTGGCCATTTATCTGGATGCTATTATGTATTCAGATTTAGTATAGACATAACAGTACAGAGAAACCTGTTTGTTTGTTTTAGTTTAATAGTTTATTGTAATATCTTTTTCTTTTACATAAATTTAGAAATAATCTCAAGCCTTGTGCTATAATTATTGTGGTATCTTGTTGCATTGGGAATTACTTTAATAGGTTTAGATTTTAATAAACAATCACCCCACACACTGTGATGCACTGGCAGACAAAATGATCCAATACAGGCACAGGTAGAGCTCTCAGTCTGAAAAAGGACAACTGGGGTTTGTAAGTCATTAACTTTTAGTATAACAAATGTTGCTCAGACAAAAAGGTAAGTAATTTTTTAAGGTACATTTAGCCTATATTTGCTGATATTTGCTACAGTTTACATAAATACACGCCTTAATGGCATTCCTCTTTCTCCATAAACTATTCTCCTCATGGCTACTGGACGGAAACTGAAAAAAACATTTATCTTATGAACACGTTAACCACATTTCCTCAGAAAAGATAAATCACACCTGCCAAAATGAACTCGAGAAGGTCAAACCGAGACCAGAAGGAGGTGTGTGTGTGTGTGTGTGGGGGGGGGG